GTACCTTCGCGCCCTCGTGCCGGCCCCTGCATCCGGCCCAGCGGCCCCCAGCCGCGACGCGCGAAGCGCGGTCACCTTTGCGCCCCTTGGAATGACGCTAACCACTAGCGGAAACACCAACTTTTGGATAGGAGTTCGCCCACCGATCCCACTCTGGGTTGCACCCCCCATCTGCGAACATCCTCGCACCTGGCACCGCGGCAGATCCGGAGGCAGCCCTGGATGATGTGTGTGTATGTTTTCTCTTTGCCAGCATGGCGGCGCGCGTGAAGAAGGGGGGATACGTTCTAGAAAGACGAGGGAGCTTCTTCAAAGGCAAGGTCCTTCTTAGAATCGCCTGGAGACTGCGGAGAAGGCTTCCCAGAAGCGGGGAATGGGTTACAAGACATCACATTATCTCTATGAATGGGGCCCCCAGGGACACACGAGAAAAAACACAAATCCACAGATTTCCTCACCAGATGTTCTGGATGCTCATCTTGCCCTTCCACCGTCCATATTTTCCATCCTTGGGCGCCCGAGTTATCCGGGGTAACTCGGGTCCGGGGTAACTCGGGCTTGGATTCCCGAAAAACGAACCCGAGTTATCCCTGACCCGAGTTACCCCTGATGATTCGGGGCTCTGACATCCCGTGGATCGACGAAGATTTGTTTGTTTTCCGTCCTGATCCAGAGCCCCTCCGGCTTTCCTAGCAGGCTGCCTCCTTTCGGTCGCCCCTCTGCGCGCGCCGCCCATGCACACCTTCGCTTGGAGCCCTCCTGCCCGCCCTTCTCCGACGCCGTCGGGGGCCCCGAAGAGCCGCCAGGAGAAGTCGTAGGGCAGCATAACCAGAGGGCAGGGCAGAGAGTCAGCTCACGTATAGCTGCTCTTCCCTGCGCCTCCTGGCGCCTGGAGGCGCCCGTGTCCATCCAGGAATGGGCCCGGCGGCGGGGCCGAAACCAGCTGCAGGCAACAGATTTCGTACATCCCCCCTTTCCCCATCTGCCCTCCCGCCTGGCCTGAACGAGGAGCCTACGGCCACGCCGTGAGACGCGCTGCTGCTGCACAGAACCGGCGCGCCGGCGGCGGCGCACACACCCTGCAGCCGACGGGGCCGGGCACTGCTCCTGTAGGGGCACTGCCGGCAGCCGCCGACGCTCGCGGTGGTCAACGGCGCGAGGCGGGGAGGATCCGCAGCCACTGCCAGGGGAGCCGATGTCCGGGGACCCGGCAGGGCGGCGGCCACGGGCACATCTGGGCCCCAGGGGGGGGGGCCGCCCACATCCGCGTCGACCGCCTCCCGATGTCCAGGGCGATCGGCGTCCCAGGCAGTGGATGCGGATGAATCCCAGGCTCCGAAAATCTACGGTGATGCTGGAATGTGTTTGGATTCGCAGGGCGAAAAAGTCGCCCGCGAGTGGGCGACGCAAAGAAAGGGGTCTTGCACGAGACAACGCGGCGAAACAACGCGGTGGCGTTAGGCAGGTCGCAAGCGCGGCGCGTCTCGTGGAGACCACGGACTGGTTAGCTCTCGCGGGTAGCGTGCGCACGGACATCCGCGCAATCGACCCCGTCTCTTTAGCGTCGCCGAAAGGGAACTTCAAACAGCTCGAGGTCGGAGCGCGCGTCCAAACCACCCTGGGCAAAACACAATTTCAAAATCGCTGCAGATGGTGCAGGTTGGCCTTGCCATTGATGGAACGGGGCGGTCATAGCACCATCTCGGGAAGCTGGAGGAAGGGACACTCCGTTACAGAATGACAGGAATCGGCATGGACATTAAACAGAACATTTGCGCGCGATCAGGTTCAAGCACGTGTCATAGTCATACCAATCATCATCCTCATCCTCATCCCCATCCTCCTCCTCAACCCCCTCGTCCTCCTCCTGCTCAGAGCCGTCCTCATCACTACAACGTCATCACGGGGGCATTATTGGCCCAGTGCTGCTAGCCGTGTGATCACGTAAAGCCCGAACGTCATCATCATCATCATCATCATCATCATCATCATCATCAGCATCATCATCATCATCAGCATCATCAGCATCATCATCAACATCACCATCATCAGCATCGTCATCGTCATAGTCTTCATCATCGCCATCATCATAACCATCGCCATCACGATCACCATCACCATCATCATCATCACCACCATCACCACTACATCAACACCATCATCCGAATCAACATCATCATAATTATCTTCCCGTTCCCTCCCATCACCATATGTCGCCATCGTGCACGTCGTCATTGTCATCGTGTTATGTAACAATCACCCCCCCGGTCACCACCAGAATGAGCACCACTACCGTCATCGTCGTCGTCGGCCAGACGTTCATGGACAGGCCACCAAGAACATCCGGCTGACTGCGCACCTCGGGGAGCCTCTTGGATTGGGCGTGGCTTAATGGGGGAGTCATAAATGGGGGGGTCCGAAACGGCCCCCTTTCGTGTCCCTTTCGGGCCCCTCCGGAGCCTCATGGGGGCTCGTTGAAGTACCGTATGGGTACCTTTTCGGGCCACCCTCGCCACACCCCCACTTATGACCCCCCCATTACGAAACGCCCAATTGGAGGCGGTTGGGGGGCGGCCGGGTTCCTGGAATATGAGCCGAGGCCTCGTCGGGGCTCTCTTTGGTTGCTGTGGGCTTCGGGAAAGGCACCTCTGGAGCCCCGGCAGGCTGGCCGCCCGTCGAGGGCGAAGAGGCAAGTTTTTTAGAGCCCGTCGTTCTCCATGTGTTTTGAACGATTCGGAGGCCTCCTTGGGGGCCCCACGGTCTTCCCGAGGGCGCTTCGCAGTCTGCCCCATGGGGTTCTCGGCCCGTCCGACGCCCAGACGCCGTCAGGCCAGGATTTCGGAGGCTCTTGAACGCTCTTGGAGCCGTCTTGGCGGCCTCTGGGGTTCCTCTTGGGGCTCTCTCGGGAAAAATGTGCGCCCCTCCAGCGGCCTTATAGGCGGCCGTCGGATTAAGGAGGACGAGTCAAAATCATCATCGTTGTCATGATGATAACCACCATCATCGTAAACATTGCCACTCTTATCTGCATCCGTATCATCGTCATCGTCACAATCAACGTCTTCATCACCAACGTAGTCCTCAACATCAGCACCACCATGGACATAAACACCACAGGCCCCATCGCCACAGTCATCATCAACACAATCATCAATAACGTCATAGTGATCATCCGCATCATCACGAACACAATTATACGACTCATCATTATCAGCATCAGCAGCATCATTAGCATCATCATCATCAGCATCATCGTCATCAGCATCAGCATCAATACACTCAAAATCACTTCCACCATGATCATCATCATCATCATCATCATCATCATCATCATCATCATCATCATCATCATCATCATCATCACAACCATCATCATAATCATGAGCATGATCGTCGTCGCCATCGTCGTCGTCGCCCGAATGTGCCAGGAAACGCCCCCCAAGGACAAGCAACCTCGAACCTGGATCTTCTGTGCCCTCCGCCGAGGTACCGTGGATGCCAGGGCAGCATCATCTTCGCCCTCGCCTGCTCCGCCCCCGCAATCCTGCTCGCAGAAGCCCTGGGTGCCCTCAGGAGCTCCACCCTGGGCGCCGACGGCCAGGAGCAATCGAATGCGCCGGAATCTGAAAAACAATGATGCCACCAAAGTGATGATCATCCAAGGAGGCCTCCAGAAACACATGGCCGACTGCGTGCCTTTGGGGGGGTGGGGCCTCTGGTGCCCATGTGCGCCCCGGTGAAGCAGCTTGGGGGGCTGTGAAGCCCCCGGTGAAGCAGCTGGGGCGTCGGAAGCGGGTGGGGGCTTGCCTTGAAATCATAAGGAAATTCGTCGTCTTCGTCGCTAGCGCCGTCGCCGTTTTCATTGTCGTCGTGCCCAATGATCACCAGCAGCACCATCACCATCCCCATCATCACCATTACCATCACCATCATCATCATCATCATCATCATCATCATCAGCATCATCATCATCATCATCATCATCATCGTCATCATCATCATTCTCATCATCATCAGCAGCATCATCATCATCATCACTATGAATATCACCGTCATCGCCGTCATCACCATCAGTATAATTAGCCATCATCATCATAAACCGCCTTACCATCATAACCATCCACACGAGGAAGACACTTTTCGCACAAGCGACTCTATATCATGCGGTGTGCAGCCGGACGAGATTGCGTCATCTCACGAACGCTACACTCTGAGAACTTCTCCAAGTATTCCCAGGACCACTACGTGCCCCGGGCACATTTACACCCTGGGATCCAGGGTCACGAAAAACAGAAACCGGTCCCTGGCCGGGGCTCTGCCTGCGAGTAGCCGCAGAAGACTCACGATGCCCTTTCGGGGCCCGGCAGTGCAACGGCACGATGAATTTCTTCGCCTTTCCACGGGGAGTGGCCCTCCAAGCGGGAGGAATCGCCCAACTCCAAAACAAAATCCAACCGAATACACATGGTTCCACCCAGGAGCCAAAAGAAAAACACGGGATTCCCACACCCCTGACATCTTGAACCTCGTGTCTTCACAGAGATTGTGCTGGGTGTCTGCGAGGGAAGGGATGACAACAAGGCGGATGATTATGAGAGTACAAATGATGAGCTCAAAGACCGAGGCAACACTAATTTGTGCTGGGGGACTGCGAATGTATGTATGTATACACATACATATGCATGTATATATGTATATATATATAGATGTGTATATATAAACATACGTACTCACATGCATATCTATACTTATATATACATATATATATGTATAGATACATGCAGAAATATCGAATACTGTAGGTATGCTGCCGCAGGTCAGCGAAACTTGTCTTCGGCCCGCTCTGTGCACCCCCTTGTGGCGCGCGCAGCACACCAGAGGCAGCGCTGGGGGAGCCGCCGGCGGGCCCAGCGGTCCAGCGCCGACCCAAGAGACCTGCGCCGACCTCCGGAAGCTTGCGGTTGGCCCGCTCCGGAAGAGCACGGGAGCACGGCCTGCCGCTAATCCGCGACGCCGAAGCAAACGGACAGGCCCAGCAGCGAGGAGCACACGCCGAAGGCGATGAGAACCTTCGCGACCACCCGGCGGCAGCTGGCGCGGTCGTCGGTCCTGCGCGGCGGCCCGCGGCGCGAAGCGGGGCAGCGAGGCGGGCGCCAGCGCGAGAGGTCGCCGCTGGCTGGGGGTGTCCGGATTTCGCCTCCAAGCAGGCGCACGGGCCCGCGCGAAGCTTCCTCGCAGTTTCCCCGAAGGCCGCCCCCTTTTCCGGACCTCAGCCCAGGCACCTCAGTCGCGGCTGCCCAGATCTCGCCCCCATCCTCCAACTCCTCCGCCTCCACCTCCTCCTCCTTCTCTTTTTGTTCATCCTCTTCTTCTTCGTCTTCTTATGATTTTGATTACTCTTATCAGTTTCCTCCTTCGTATGGTTAGTGTGGTTGATGTTACGCATCGTTTTATATCAGTATTACTTTGATTGGTGATAGAATCATTCACTTCATTATTAGTAAGGTTAGTAATCTTGCTATTATTCTGGTTATTCGTGTTACGATCACTAGATTAAGACTACCCATGCTATTCTCATACATTCTTCCGAATCGTCAATTGGCATGGTATGCGACGACTCGGCGCTCATCGCGTTGGTCCGCGTCGACTCGGCGCTAATCGTTCTGGACCGTGTCGACTCGGCGCTCATTGGCGTGTCATCCAGAAGGCGGTCGCGAGGAATGCCTCGGTTGCGCCTTTCGGCTCATTCTGGCTGTTCTGTTCTGGTGTACGACCACAGGGAAGGGGCTCGTTATCGCAAGGATAGCGGACATAGCCCACCCGTTCTAATGGCTCCTCCGAGCTCATCTTGAACGCGGCCTGCCTTCACATAGCGCCAGGTTGCACCAGCGCGTCGCCCGCGGCGCAAGTTTGCCAAGTGCCCCAGTGCGTCGGCACAGCTATGCGAGGCATTTGCGGGCGTCGGTTTATTGACGTCATACACTAAGGGAATACCAATTTCATCACTAATTGCTCGATTAGTCTCACCCGTGGAGAAGACAGCCAACCGCCCGTATGTCGAAAAACGGCCGTCAGCGGCCCTTTTGACATTGAGCGAAGTGTCCGAGATTGTGGGATCGGGATTCGCTACCAGCGGGTCCGAGGTGCTCATGGTGACAACCTGTGTATGCGCAAGTGCGGTGCGTTAGTGGGCTCCGCTTCGCTGGTCTGCGGTGACTCAACGCTTCGGCTGATAATCGCTTGAACGGCGCTTGCTAACCTTGTGGCCAAACGCTCCTGGCTTTCCTCCAAAGAGCCCCCGGTCGGTCACCATTGAAGGCGGCCATGTTCCCGACATATTCCGAGCCTTCGTCCAACCGTGAATCACGAGCCCGTCCCGCAAGGGGGAAGAACGTAAGCGGAAAGCCTTCGAAATCGCTCCTCACTGCGGCGCGACAGCGATGGCGACGACTACGACGACGACGACGGTTGACTCCCCACCCCACTTCGAGAAGAGCAAATATGTTGCGGACACATGCCATTCCTTGAGGGATGCAAAAACGCCCCTACCCTGGGTTACAAGTGCGTGGTCCGTAAACCTCCTGGGAGCTCCCAGAGACCAAAGAGCCGCCAGGACGCCGCGCGACACGCGCGATATGCAGGGTCTACCCTGCCAGCCCACAGGAGGTTCAGCGCACAGCGCCTCGTAAACCAGGGCAGGCGCGTTTTTTACGCCCTTGAATTGCTGCTTCTGCTGCATGCTCGGGCGCAGCAGCTGCAGCAGGAGGGGGCGACATAGCGCGGAGAGGGGAAGGGCCAAATGGACCCCCCCAAAACCCAGACGGGGTTATCATTAAGTCGGGGATTTTCGACGAAAAATAAAAAATACCCCAGACATACTCCAACATCGACAGAAACAATGCTTGAAAAATAGTCCCCAGACTATTTCTTTACTATTTTTGGATATTCCCCTTGTAGAGGTACAGGGTCATCATCGAAAACCAAAAGGCGCGCCAAACAAGAGGGGCAAACTAAACTCCTTGCCACCGCTTTGGGCCTCAACCCGGTTCTCTGAAGGGGTGCGTTACCGGGGGGACCGGCTCAAGTGGAGGAGGACGATAACCCTGAATCGGCAATGCGTCGCCGATAGATCGGCAAGGCCCACGACAACGAATCCGCGCTTTCCTGGTGGAGGCAGACTATCGAGCCCTGGGCTCGATGGGCGATTCGCAGTCGATGCGTTCCCCACCCTCGCATGACCTCCCCTAAGCCAGGACGCTGAAATCAAGAACAATTTGAGTCCGGAAGGGACTCGCTGTTCCGTAAGTCCTCCTTTGGTTGTTCCTCTAGCGGTCCGCGTCCACCTGGGCGATTTTGGGGCCCAAAAATGGTTCGGTCCTCATTCAATGACGTTCCGTACGGTAGCAGCTTCACTGCTACATTCCCCCCTGGAGACAGCGCGAGCCCCGGAAGGCCGTCCTCCTGGCCTCCGCCGGCAGGCTCAGGAGCATGAGGCCCGGCAGCGTGAAGGAGATCGGGCACCCCAACAACGCCCCGCGGAAGGCCAGCACCTGCCCCGATCTCCGTCTGCAGAGGTCTCCAAGACGGGATCCGAGAGGATGTGGTCGGAGGTTCACGCCCCATCGCCGCTGCATCCGCGATGCATCGGCAATGCATCGACGACGTCAGCGATGCACCAGCGATGTCGGCGTAGAGAAAATCGGACTCTACATCGGCGATGCATCGCGTGAGTTATGTAGAATGGCCGGGATTGAATTTTGAGCAGGCTCTGCCCCCGTCGAGCCTGTGAGTGCCGACCACCGTCCCTCCTCGCGACTGCGAGTGCCTCCTGGTACCTAGTAGCGCCAATTAGAGACAATTGCTGAGCACTTCTAGCCGTTATCGGGTCGGGCGAAAGGGGGGGATAGCAAAGGGGGGGTTGAGAATCAGCTCACGTAGCTGATTTTCCCGGCGCCTCCCGGCGCCGGAGGCGGCTATGTATCGAGGAATGGGCCCCTCGGTGAGGCCGAAACCAGCTGCATGCAGCAAATTTCGTAACCCCCCCTTTCCCAATCCCCCCCTTTCGCCCGACCCGACGTTAGCAGCCGGGGAGGACAACATCGAGTGTCTGCAAATGACTCTCGCGCACAACGCACCACACATATATCCGTCTGCCGTGCCCCGTGCGGGCGAAGACCTGCACCCCGATCCACGGCGCAGTCGTCTCTCCGGGAAGAGGGCGCCGCAAGGACGAGGCTCCACGGCCATGCATTACCCAGGGGGGCAAACAGACCTACCTCGCTTTGGACCACGCTCGCTTCCAAGAGGTACCAAGCGATGCCAAACTGCGGCCTGTACTGGTCAGGCCGCTTGACGAGGAGGCGCGCGGTATGACTTGGTTTTGCCTGGAAGCGAAAGCGGGGTAGGTAATTCGCGCTCTGCTTAACATCCACAGGCATCGTGCTACCCGAAGGGACGATGAGCGCTCGGCCGAGAGCGGAGCCTGCCGCAAGCGACCGACCCCGCGCGGCCCGTGGGCGCCGCGGACGCGCGGCGGACGCGCCACCGAGGCGGCCGCACGGCCCCACGGCCTTATGGGGGACCCAGAGATATGCACCACCACCACCTCCCCCACCTCCTCCCCCTCCCCCAGGAGAGAGGCGAGGCAGAGGAGGGCAGAGGATCGGTTCGGGCGAAAGGGGGGGATAGAAAAGGGGGGGTTTGAGAATCAGCTCACGCAGCTGAGTTTCCCGGCGCCTCCCGGCGCCGGAGGCGGCCATGTATCGAGGAATGGGCCCCTCGGTGAGGCCGAAACCAGCTGCATGCCGCAGATTTCGTACCCCCCCCCTTTCCCGATCCCCCCCCTTTCGCCCGGCCCGACTCTCTCTCCCAGGAGAGAGGCGAGGCAGAGGAGGGCCGAGGAGAGGGGAGGACTCGACGTCAGGCGGTGGTGTACACCCTGCGAAATGCTTTAGAAATCATGGGTTAAGAAATTCACAGCCTCAGAATTTGAATCAAAACCCACAATCTCCATTCAAATCTTAGGATCTACATTGAAACATTAAGAATCATCGAGACTCTGGACGAAAACTTGGGTTTTCTGAAGCATCGCCTACGGTGTACATCCTCGGGGCCCCCGCCCGGGAGGAGCGCGCTGGGCCCTCGGACTGGCAGGCGGCGAGCCCAGGCCACGGGCCGGGCCCGACGGCCCGAGCGCCCCTCCCGCTGCGCATGCTCCGAATTTGGAGGCAGAGTTTTTTTTTTTTTTTTTTTTTTTTTTGTGTGTGTGTTTTTGTTATATATATATATATATATGTATATATGAAGAAGAGAAAAAAAAAAAAGATGGTTGAGGGGCCCTCATCGACTCGGGTTGGCTCCCGGCCGCTTGGGGGAGGGGGTGTATATATTAATAGGGACCAGTGATCAAGACTCCCTCCCCGCCCGCAAGCCGCCTCGCTCACTCCCGCCCGCCCTCCCAACCAACATATACGTAGCACCCGAGCCTGCCCAGGAGGCGGCCCCCGTGCCGGCGGGCCGGGGGCGGTGGCGCGGGGGGGTCGGGTTACCAGCCCGGAACACACCCCTATCCCCATGCTGGGCATCGCCCCATCACGAGGCCAACCTTTTTGGGGTTCCCTCAGTTTTTGAGGGCGCATACCTAAGATTGTCATCGCTTTCTGGCGTGTCAATCGTAGGGATAGGGATAAGTTCGAGGCTGGTAGTCAGGTGGGGTCAAAACACACACACACACACAACAAAAAAAAAAAACAATGAACACGAGCTCTGGCGTGGCGGCCCTGCGCGCAGCGACGGGACGGAGAAAGTCGTGGAGCAGCCATCGCGCGCGCGCGCCCGAGCCATCAGAAACCACGAACGATGTGTCCCACTGCAAGCGCCGCCACAAGCCATCCGGGCGTGGATGAGGGGGGCCGATGATGGACGTGCTTACGGTGCGGTGGAGGTGCCAGAAGCAATCAACCATCCGGGACTGGATACCGGGGGGACCGAGTACGTAAGCAGTGTGAAGCGACACGGAGACCAAACCCAACCTGAAGCCCGTACTGGCAGGGGGGTCACAGACCGACGGCGGGCAGATGCCAGGACCAACAGGAGTCGGCAGAAGGGTACCAAAGGAGAAGCAAGGAGGCATGGGGCCTGACAGCGGCGGCGGACGCACACACACATACACAGACAAACACACACACAAACACACACACACACGAACACACACACACACACGCACACACACACACACACTTTTTGCGTCACTGCGCTGGCGGATAGGGCGCTGGTAGGACAAACGAGCGCGAAGTAGGTCGCGGTGCACGACGGGGGATGAGGAGACGTAACGCACACACACACACTCACACACACACAATGTGTTGGCGTCGCGGTCACGCGCGCCGCGGCGTGGCGCACAGGCCAGTCTCACCGTTTGCCTCGCGGCTGGCGGGTTCAACGCAGCGAGGGCATCAGCGGGACGCGCTGCAGACGAGGTGCTGCGAGAAGGAACGCTCCATGAGGAACGAAGCCCTTCTTTGGCGCCAACAGCGCCTGGGTCCACAAAGAGAGCTAGAAGACCAACCACGGAATGGCCCAAGGAACAGCGAGTCCCTTCCGAACCCAAAGTGGCCCTCACCTCAAGATCTCGATTGTAAGCCGATTGCCGCCGAACGCGTGCAGGTGGGACGCGACCGGCAAGCCGTCGACGGATGCAGAAGAGAGGCCGAAGCCTTTCTCATCCGGAGGCAACATGCACTGACGATGATGGTGGTGATGATGATCATGATGCTGATGCTGATGATGGTTATGATATAGTGATGACGAAGATGATGCTGATGATGGTGATGATGGTGATGATGATGCTGCTGATGCTGCTGCTGACGATGATGGTGATGATGACATCGCAAACACGTGTTGGCGTTGCGGACAGGCGCGCGGCGGCGCGGCGTCTTGAAACGAGCGAGAGGGCAAGCGCGGCGGGGGGGGGGGGGCACCGATACGCCCAACGGGGATCGAGCAGGTCACTCGCTGGGGGCCGCGAGGGCAGGGGGGGAGAGAGGAGGAGAGTGGCGGCAAGTGCAGGTGTGCAGTGCAAGAGGCAAGAAGGGCGCAGCGCAAAAGTGCAACGGTGCCCCGATGTAGTCAAAATCTGTAGCAAGTACGAGCTGTGAGGACGCAAGAGCCCTGGACTGTCCTTGGACGCCCCAGCTGAAGCTGCTCTAGCGGCGCGCTGCCGAACAAATCTGAGGACGCAAGGGTGCCCCTGGGAAGGTGGCCCGTCCTTGCCAAGGATTTTCACCATACCCCGACAGCGGGGCGAGAGCAGAAGGCAGGCGGCCCACCCGAGGCAGACGGTGGGATGGCACGAGCGCCGAAGGGGCGACAGGACCGCGGCGGAACAGCGGAGGGCCGACGGCAGGCGCCCGGAGACCGCGTGCGCGCGGAGGCCGCGCGGAGGCGTTGCTGTGAGCACAGCGGGCGCGGGGCTGCGCTCCAGCCGAGGCAAAAGCGCGAGCAGGAGCGGCGGCCCACCCAGGCGTCGGCGCGGGGCAGGAGCGGGCCAGCGGCGCGGCGGGGGCAGGGCTGTGCCGGGCGGCCAGGGGGGGGCGCGGAGCCAAGGCGGCAGCCCCAGCCCGAGGGGAGAGGGGATACACTCAAGACTGAGCCACAATAGGCCCATCGCAAGACCCAACCGTGAACGTCGCCGAAGTTCCTTGGGCCAGGGTTGGGCTTCTTGCCGAGTGGCCGCCAGCGAAGAAGCTCAGGGTACCCTGGGCTAGGCGGTTGCTTCATGGCTCGCGCAAAACATCTCAGCGTCAAGACAGCCCGGGTACCCTGCCAGCTGCGGTTTCTTCTCGACCACTGCAGGCCTTCAAACCAACCGCATACAAAACAAACCCAGGGCACCCTGGTAAAACATGTGGTCCTCCTTAGCACTGGCTACCACCGTGATGCAAACGAACACACGCACGCACAGTCGCACATCCGCGCGCACTGGAGGCACACGCGGGCCGATGCCCAGGCGCGCGCGCACGCACTGGCACCTTCGCTCACGCTCGCACTTGCGCACGCGCGCCCACGCGTGTGGATCAACGACGCGGTCGGCGCGGACGAAAGCACGACCATCGCCGCCGCGCCTCCGAGATGTCCGACAACACGGCGCCAACCGCTGCCGTGGTGCCAACCATGAGGACCACCATCCGCTTCCAGCCCCAGCAGGGGGACACCCCCTCGCGGTGCGGGGCGGGAGGGCTCTCCCTGGAGGACGGGGTGAGGCGGGCGTGTGCGGCGAGTTTGCGTCATGTCGACGTGTGTGCTGGTTTCTAACACCGCGTGTACGAGTTCATTGAGCAAGGACCGACCGTCTCGGCAATGCTATAGGCCTAGCACGACATGTTTTTTTAGAACCCAGAAACCTTCTTATGAACAAACACCATGTTCTAATAACACAACACCGACGTGTTAAAACACGACAGTCCCAGCCAGAAATGTTCGAAGAACACTCTGGCTTCGAACACCGTGTGGAGAACTCAACCTCAGGAGATCGTGGCCGTCCGACAGTGCCGCTCATTCGACATCGGTCAGTTCTGGGTCACTTGGGCGGCCGAGTTATCCGGGGATAACTCGGGTCCGGGTTAACTCGGGTTTGGATTCCCGAAAAAGAAAACCGAATTACCCCTGACCCGAATTACCCCTGATGATTCGGGGCTCTGGACGCCCGAAGTATCCGGGGTAACTCGGGTCCGGGGTAAGTCGGGTTCGGCTTCCCGAAAAACGAACCCGAGTTAGCCCTGACCCGAGTTACCCCTGATGATTCGGGGCTCTGAGTCACCGTGGGCGTGAAAACCTGGACAAGCCCGCGCTGCCGACAACGGCGCGCCCCTGCCGTGAGCGGGGCTCCCGCACAGGGGGGCATGGAGGAGGGGGTGCGCCGCTCGACCTCCTCCTCCTCCTCCTCCTCCTCCTCTTCCTCCTTCTCCCTCCTCCTCCTCCTCCTCCTCCTCCTCCTCCACTTCCTCCTCATCCCACTCCTCCTCCTCCTCCTCCTCCTCCTCCTCCTCCTCCTCCTTCTCCTCCTTTTCCTCCTCCTCCTCCTCCTCCAAATCCTCCTCCTCCCCCTCCTTCTCCTTCTCCTCGTTCTCTCTCTCTCTCTCACTCTCTCTCTCCTCCTCCTCCAACTCCTCTTCCTCCTCCTCCTCCTCCTCCGACTCCCCCTCCTCTTCCTCATTCTCCCTCCTCTATCCCGTCCATCCTGTCTCCTTGACTCGACTCCGCCATCGCTCGGCGTGCCCCCGCGATCCTCCTCTCTCCTCGTCGTCCTCCTTCTCATTCCTCCTCCTCCTCCTCCTTCTCCAACAAATCCTCCTCCTCCTCCTCCTCCTCCTCCTCCTCCTCCTCCTCCTCCTCCTCCTCCTCCTCCGCAAACGAAGATGGCATAAACATGACACCTCTCAGGTCCGCCGGCGGCACCTCCGGCGCCGCCAGGGGGGGGCCGCTGGGGACGCGGAGCCGAGGCGCCGCCGCCCCGGCTGCTCGGCGGCCGGGCGTCGTGCGCAGCACGCCCGGGGCCGAGGGGCGCGCGGCCACGCGGCTCCTCCACGGGGCACGGCCTGCGGTGCCCGCCCGGCGCCTGCGCGCCGCCTTCCTCTCGCCCTGGCTGCCCGCGCGTGCCGAGCAGGGAGGAGGTCGGGCCGGGGCGGCGGCGGGCGCCTGCAGCGATGAAGGGGCCCTGGGGCACACAAGTAAATACACACAAATGAAAAAATGATTCCCCATATTTTCCTATAGTTTCTGGGTGTTTGTCTTTCCCTCCCACTTCCCATAACTTTCCAAACTTTCTCGGGAATCGCCGATGAATTGTGTCTGTGTGTTTCTTTCTCTCCTGCAGCGAGGCGGGCACTGAAGCCGAGTTCGCCGTCGATTGCAAGGGGCGGGCCCAAACCTGGCGCGCTCAGATGCGAGCGGAATCGCGCGATGCGAGTGCCGACGCGATGTCGAGCTCATTCCACGAGAAAAATCACCCGACCCCCTTTGGGCCAGCACCAAAGGTCACTCCGGCGAAGGGTCACTCTTACGTGCAGTCGACCAGGCCCCTGCCGCGGCGGCAGGGTGGCCGTGGGTGTCTCTTGTGCTTTTCCTGCGGGGCCCGACGAACAGGTCAACGGCCGGCGCGGTGCACATGGCGGAGCGGAGCCAGGGGCCGTGTCGGCGCCGTTGGAAGCGCGAGGCGACCATTGTGGGGCTTCGGTTACAATCGGACTAAGGCCAGAAGAGCATCCCTCAAGACCATGAGACCCTCTCAGCCAAAACAGACGGAACATCAAAGGGTACACTCCCCATGATGCACGAAAACATCCAACAGACACAAAGAACACTAGGGCACCCTCCCTTTGGACGCCCGAAATGGGCACGGAAACAATGGGCACAATGCTCAACAGCAAATGTTGTCCCGAACCAACAGCGGCCGCTGTCAGGCAGGCGGCCTTCTGTCTCAAATGGAAACAGGCCGCGGCGTCGCGGACAGCCAGTCCTGTTCAAAATGAACAGGAACTGCTGTTGGGCATCGTACCCACTCTTTCCGTGCCCATCTCGTTCGTGCAGACTCCCGGAACCGACCTCGATCTTATACCTCGGTCCGCCTGTAGAAGAGGTGGATGTCCTGTCAGGTCTCAGGCGGCGAAGGACGCAATGGCACAGCGGAAGTCCAGCACGGAGCGAGCCCTGCTCCTGCGGGATGCTCAACTGTTTCGCGGGGGCCCTCCTGACCATGGACGCCCGAATGCTGCAACGATTGCGCACGATGTCGGAGAGGCGCTCGCAGCTGTGGCTCAAGCCTCGCCGCAGCCTGCGCCGCCTCCCGTGCAGCCAGCTGCGGACCCCAAGCGCAAGCCGATAGGATCGTGGTAGGGCGGCTCCTCAAGGTGGGACCAAGACAGGTCGCGGCAAGGCCTTGGGTCTGGCCCGAACCTCCGCTCGGCGCTGCAAATGCACGAGATCACGCAAGTCGGACACGGCAAGACATCGGAGCTGAAGGGCTTGCGCGTGGGTCTGGTCAAATCGTTTTGCACACGTGCGCGTCATGCGTCGGTCTGACCCGAGAATTTCGCAGTTCGCGAATGCACGTATATCTGACCTGGTACGTTACCTCCTGCGTAGGAAGGGGAGCCCAAAATCGAATCGATAAATCGGATCGGCAATCGGAATAAATCGAATCGGCGGGAATCGGCAGCCGAGCCGGGAAAAGTCGAATCGGCGGAAATCGGCAGCTTGGTAGGCCTCCATTAAGATCGATGATCCTCAGAACGTGTGTTAACGCTGACGTGTGTTTGTCCAGCGAAGGCGCTCGGTAAATTGCATGCTGTGTAAACGCACATCTGCACGCGTCATAGAGCGTCTCGGCACGCTGGTGGATCGCAGGTGCCGCGCGTGAAGTTAAGTGCAGAAAACGCGGCTGACTCAAACTAGATGGGCTGGAGAAACACGTGTCCCTCGTGCGTCGCGGGAACCAAACTCTGAAACAAACCGCGAAAATAACTGACAGAACTGACGGAACCGGAGAAACGCTTATGTTACTGACGAGGGAATCCCGTTACAAACGGGACCGTTACGTCGGTTGCAGAGAATTACGTCGGTTCCTCCGAACGACCGAAATCACTATGCTATTTCTACGTCAACAACCACCCTTCCTGACGGAAAGGGTTACGCCAATATCAAATAGTTACGTCGGTAATATGCACCAGCTGTCGGCGGAGAGGGGCGAGAGGCAGGACTGGGGAAGAGGAGGGAGGGGATTAAGGAGGCGGAGGACATAAGAGGATAAGAACAGGATGAGCAGCCGAGGGTCAATGTTTGAGTAAGGGCAAGGGGCGAGCCGCATCGAAAAGACGACTCCTGCGGGGGGGCCCGACGAGGCCCCGCAACACTTGCTTCTGCGAACTGATGACTGTCAAGAGCTGCGAGTTATCGGCGGAGCTGCGGGAGGATCACACACGTTGTGCTAACACACGTTCGGACAATCATCGGTAAGACATCGGAACCAACATCGGAAGCCGAAATCGAATCGAATCGGAATCGAACATAATCGAAATCGCATCGCATCGAATCGGACAAATCGAAATGAGCCCTGGTAGGTGGTCAGGCTTCACATCGGCAGCATCTGCGGCGCACATCCTGAGTCACGCATGCAGCCTTCATTCTTAAGTCTAGCCAGGTGCGTTTCGCAAATCTGGTACTGAACGTAAATATGGTCAGATACTTGTGTTGCTTATTGCGGAGATCTGATCAGTCCTCACATCGGCATCTTCTGTAGTGCACATCCCGAGTCACGCACGCAGCGCCGTCATGCGCAGATCTGGTCAAGAAATGTGTGCATTCCCACCAGCCCTGTAGTGCGTGAGTGGTTCAGGTCGTTTCCTCTCCCAACCCCTTTTTTTCCACTTCGGGGAAAGGTTGACCCCTCCCCCTAACCCCCTACCCCTGGACCTGGATGGTGCGCCACGCGGGTCGTTCGAGTGTCCAAGATGGTCCAAGATGGCTCCCAGAGGGCCTTCGAGAGCCCGACCCCCAATTCATCCCAAGATAATGCAAGATCGCTCAAGATGGCTTCCAGCATGCTTCAAGAGACCCCCAGACCAGTCCAAGATGGGTCCACGGAGGTCCCCAAGGAACTTCCCAACGAGGCCCCGAAGAGGACCAAATCCGTCAAAAATCGTCGAACAATCAATGAATTTAGCCTCCTCGCGCGTTCGCTTCCGACGGCTTCCCGAGGCCTCAATATGGTCCCCAGAGGGCCCAGGATGGCCCCACGAGTGGCCCAAGATGGCCGCAAGAGCACCCAAGAGCGCCCCACGAGCGTCGCAGGAGACCTTCAAGAGGCGACCTGGGGGGCTTCAGAGGGGAGGGGGGGCCCTACGTGCGTACACTCCCTCTTTGACCAACACAACCAGTTAAATTCACACACGGGTACCTTTTCGGGGTACCCTTCGGAGGTGTTTGGCCCATGGAGGCTCCACGGTGGCCCCGGAGTCATCCAGAACGCCTCCAAGTTGCCGCAATGTGGTTCACGTTGCCCCAGACGGCTTCAAGGATACCTCCACGAGGCTCCACGATGGCCCCGCAATGTTTCGAAATGGCCACGGAGACTCCCAAAGGAGGCCCCAAGGAGGCCAACACTCGTCCAAAACATATGGGGCATCAATAATGTAGGTCCTTTTCGCCCTTTCGCTTCAAA